TTTGTTTTAATAGTTTCATTTATTTGATCTTCTGTTTGTTATTTTTGGTAAGTAAAAGCTAGTAAACTAAAAGATTATCAATCGTAGTTAATAGTACAAATAATAATAGAAATAAATTAAACAAAAAACTGTCAAAATGTCATGGCCTTCTAATAAAAATACAAACGGTTTCCTGCATTTTCTGCATGTTTTGATAAATTTACGAATATGAGAGAAACTACAATAAATAAGTATAGGAATGTTTATAGATAAATTGTAGAGAATTATATTCCCTTTCGTGTAGGCTAATAAAATATAGGGCGTTCCATTTAAAATTTTCGACTTTCTCCCCATTGAATATGGAGAAACGGTAATTCAATTTTTGACCATCCTGTATAAGATACTCTGATACAATACATGACAATCTATTTGAGAGCATCTGAAGAGTAAGCGTGCCAATTTAGAGCTTTTTTGAATGAACGTTGGCTGGGGTTTTAAAGAGCATGGTGAAATTTGCCAAAAAAACCTTAAAATCAAAATAACTCGAAAACAAAAAACGCTAGGTAATAATAAGTTTTATGAAAGTCAACATATTTTTTTACGTACAATTAAAAGGTGCAATAAAAACTATAGAAGTCCTTTTAAAATAACGAAGTTATAGTCTACTTCCGGTAGACCGGAAGTTGCAGCCATCTTGAAAATATTTTAGATCGAAAGTTCCGACTGAACAACCCATACTACTAAAATTTTAAAACTGTACGAATATTGGAACCTAAAAAAGTTCTAACGAACCAGTTACGTGAGACACCTTTATTTAAAGAATACCGTTTGAATGTGACAGCGTTCATGATTGAGGCTTACAAAAATTACTTTGGTCACACACTGGAAATGAAAGACAAGTCTTGGATTCCGCGAAAGGTATGCAAAATGTGCGTTGAGTTTCTACGTTTGTGGACAAATAAGAAAAGGAATAGCTTTAGGTACGAAACCGCTATGATCTGGACTAAACCCTTAAACCACCGCGACGACTGATATTTTTGTTTGGTGACCATAACTGGCATTAACCGAAAAAATCGAGCCAAATGGCAATATCCTTCCATACGGTCGGTACATAGACGTGTTTTGAGCCTAAAATATCACTTGAACCTCAAACTGATGCTTCACAGGAGGAGCCTATGCATTTTGAGGCGAAAACTGACAGTAGTGATAGTGACTCTGAATGTGACCTGAAAGCGCCAAAAATATTCAACCAAGATGATTTAATCCAGCTTGTCAGAGATCTGGGACTGTCAAAGGCTGCTTCAGAAATTTTGCCTTCTAGGTTAAAATTTCTTATTACCGCACAAGAGAACAAAATCTCCTCAAATATTTTGCTGAAGAAAATAATTTCGTATTTTGTAAAGATGTACCTGGTTTAATGGCTGCAGTGGGACTTCAAAATTAGGTTTCTAATTAGTGGCGTCTATTTATAGACTCATCAAAACGTAGTCTAAAATGTGTTCTCTTACACAATGGGAATAAATTAGGGTCGTTACCTATTGCACATTCCACAATTCCACAGTTCCTGTTTTCTTTGCTTATGGGACAGTAGAGCTAAACATCAAAAAGTTTCCAAAACTGAGTGCAGAAAAGATAATATCGGAAATTTTTGACGGGTCACAAATAAGATCATGAATAAAAGACTTAAATTTTACGGACACTATGACAGAGATTGACAAACGGCATGGAATGAATTAAACTAAAATTAGAACTAAAACTAGAACTAACACTAGAAACTTTCGGGTTTTGCCGTGCGTCTTTTATTAAAAGGTTTGACATTTCGGATGCCATGTTGCCTTCTTCAGAAACTGGTTCGAAGTGAACTTTTTCTTTGTCTTTAGTTATTTGAGTTTTTTATGAAAACGACAATGTTTTTTAAAAAATAATAAGAGCAAAAAAGTTTTAGAATTAAATTCCACATGAAATGAGGTAATAATGTAGTAAATCCACCAAAAGGTGAAAAAAATCTGTCCAAATTTAGGGGATCATCACTCTTAATCAACCCTTTGAAATGCCTCAATTGGCCTCAATTTGCTACCAATTAATACCTTCAGTACACTCATAACGTATACCAAATTTGGTTTTTCTAGCTTAATGTATTACGAAGATATTTAATGTTTTAAAAATTTAAGAGCCAACTTTGATGACCTACAGGTGTTCATTTCAAAACTTTCCACCTCAATTTCTGTAAATACGGAAGTTTAAAAAGAAAATCGCTGAAATAGGTAAAGAATAAAACCAAGGGGGACAACTTTTTATGCAAAAATTGACTCACTCACTTCAACCCCCCGCCGCCAGAAACCAACCCCTTAAAAATCTTAAATGGAAAGGGGTGTCAAGTGATACCTCATTTTAAAGGTCTTTTAAGGTACTACATGTTAGTATTTATTTGTTTAAATTGATCGATTCGTTTTCGAAATTTTTGCGAAAATCTTTGTTTTGTATTTCCCGCTTTAATTAATATTAAAAACTTTAATCACCTTCTTAAAAGCAAGAATAAGTAATCTTTTATTATTAATTTATAAAATTAAATTACCATGTTCGTTTTTACAACGACCATTAAACCTTTATTATTTCGGAGCAATCGGAAATATTTAAGAAAACTAAACACGTATAATTATGAATTAAACTAAATTTTATTGAAAGTATTTTACATTAAACCTGTATGAAAATTACTCTTGACTCGAATGGCCAAAAAAAGGAAAAAAAGAGACGAAATTTTNATACTAACATGTAGTACCTTAAAAGACCTTTAAAATGAGGTATCACTTGACACCCCTTTCCATTTAAGATTTTTAAGGGGTTGGTTTCTGGCGGCGGGGGGTTGAAGTGAGTGAGTCAATTTTTGCATAAAAAGTTGTCCCCCTTGGTTTTATTCTTTACCTATTTCAGCGATTTTCTTTTTAAACTTCCGGATTTACAGAAATTGAGGTGGAAAGTTTTGAAATGAACACCTGTATATACAATTTCTTTGGAAGAAACGATCTAGACAGCCGTTCTCGGCACCAAAACATACTGCATAATGTTGTTTAAGCATGTTCTGAATCCTAAATTGATATCTCAAAAAACCAGTGTTCTATGATTTTTTGAACAAATGTCTGCTGGAGCAGATTTTTCTAGAAAAATTCGAATAACTCGAGAGCGGCCGTATCAAATTGCAAAAAGTAAACTTATTTATAAACCTTCAAAAGAGACAAATCCAAATATGTACAAATATACAGGTGTTCCATTTAAAAAAATAAAATAGGTGGCGACTTCCGGTATAACCGGAAGTGCTAGTAATCTGAAAATATTTTAGACGAAGAGAACGTAATTGATAATACTTATGTCTGAATTGTCAAATTTTTATTTTGACCAGAACCCCAGAAACGTCTAATGACCAGTCTCGCTGAGACACCTGTATGTTATGGAATCTAATAACCAGGGCACGGAATTTTTGTAACAAAACGATACGATTTCTCCCCTCCACTCGTTCTCAGAAAATCTTGATTAAAAGAGATAATTAGAAAAAAATTATGTTAACAAACACTGTTCCTGAAGTAATTCTAAACAAATTTTGTTAACAACATTTTTTGATTAAATCAACAATAAGGATATAACCTCAAAAATATTAATTTTTGTACCATACTGTTCAGTGGGAAATTAAAATTTCAAGTTAGAAAAAAATTGTGTTAACAAAAATTGTTCCTGAAACAATTNCTTTGGAACAAACGATCTAGACAGCCGTTCTCGGCACCAAAACATACTCCATAATGTTGTTTAAGCATGTTCTGAATCCTAAATTGATATCTCAAAAAACCAGTGTTCTATGATTTTTTGAACAAATGTCTGCTGGAGCAGATTTTTCTAGAAAAATTCGAATAACTCGAGAGCGGCCGTATCAAATTGCAAAAAGTAAACTTATTTATAAACCTTCAAAAGAGACAAATCCAAATATGTAAAAATATACAGGTGTTCCATTTTAAAAAATAAAATAGGTGGCGACTTCCGGTATAACCGGAAGTGCTAGTAATCTGAAAATATTTTAGACGAAGAGAACGTAATTGATAATACTTAAGTCTGAATTCTCAAATTTTTATTTTGACCAGAACCCCAGAATCGTCTAATGACCAGTCTCGCTGAGACACCTGTATATGTATGGAATCTAATAACAAATTTTTTTTCTCAAAAATCGTTAAGGGTTCCGGTGTTTTGATGATCGATTTAGGTCGCTAAAAGCATCCTCTAAATCATCCTAAAATTTCATCGATTTCAGATTTCACCCCTAAAGTCCCATCCGTGGTTTATAGGAATGATTTTTTTTCTCGAAAACCGTTAGGGGTTACGGTGTTTTGAAAATTGATAAAAATACTTAGAACTGTGTTCTATTATGTGGTAGAATTTGGTTTAATTCGAAGGTGCCCATCAGGGCGAAAACATCCCTTTTTCGGGGGTGGGGGTTGAAAAAATTTTTTTTACCAAATGGGGGCTGTAAGCTGTTCTTCAGGGTAAGAGTGATCTGTGTGTGAAATTTGGTAACCCAAATCGTATTAGTTGCGGAGTTATTAGTGTTTTAAGTTTATGGCTGGGATTTATGGATAACTTCACACCAGTTGAAAACCTTACATTTTGTCATGGGGAAGGCACCTACAGAAATATTCGCAAAGGATAGACCTTTCAAATAAAAAAAAACGTTATTCAAATCGAGCAATACGTTCAAAAGTTATTGCAGTTTGAAACTGGTCATCATTTAGGTGATGCGTTTTTTATTCAATAAAAATATACAGCCATCAAAAACTAGAACCAATCCAAAAAAACAGATTATAGATTCGGATTCAGCTTCTCTTACTACTTTGGAAGTAATTTTAGTTCCTCAATTCCAAAACTGTGTTAATAATTGTACTTGTGTTATAATAATAATTGTATAAATAATATCAATTTCGCTCCAACTGATTGCTTATGATAGGTTATGATGCAAATTGTTTAATTATTTTAAAACGTACCTAAAATTGTTGGTAAAGTTATCGTAATCCATCGAGATAGTGGTCTCTTTTTCTCTTCGTGTTCACTTTCTGCTTCCGGTTGTTCATCTTCGTAATAATAATCTTCATCCAACGGTTTTGGTATTCGTAAAGTTTTTGATACCTTGTTGAGTGCTCCTTCTCTAACGCGAATTCTTTGCTTGGGATTATTTAAAACTTCCTCAAAATCTAGATTAATATCTGGATCTTTCGATTCTCCCGCTTGATAAAGTCTTAATAAAACGTTTGGATCTTCGTCATATTCGAATTCGGATTTTTCTATTGTAGGGTTGTTATTAGATGCTTCTAAAGAAAATTGTAAAAAAAATGTGATAATAAAGATTATTTTAATAATTCTCATTGATTATTTTATCATTTAAAAGAACTGTCATTTTTAATGTCAAGTTGTTTGAGGTTATGTTGTGGTTGTAATCGTATCGTTTAAATTAAAATTAACGTCTTGCAAAAATGGTTTTTGGTGAAATAATAATTCCTTCGAGTAGATCACTATATGGTGATGACTTCCATGATGTGGAACCTTACACCCCGTAAGTTAAAATAATGGAAAAATTAAAATTAATTGTAATTTTTGTAGAAATCCGTTTAGATGGGACGATGACTCAACATTAAACCTCTCTAAAATTAAAATAGATGTTTTAATAATAATAAACACGAAATCAATTATAGAAGTATTTAAACAATGCGTCTACGAGAATTTAAGACCATTCAAAGTGTCAACAGAACAAGGATTAAGTTTATATAATTTAAATATTAATACTTACTTGCTTGTGTGTGAAAATAAACCCAATTATAGTAGTGGAGAGATTTTTTTGAACATTATGGACATAGTTGGGAAATCAACGAAGATATATGGAGTAACTTCTTCTGCGTTGACTATGTTTGAGGGAGATCAGCCTTTGCAAGAGGAAAGTTGCATGATATTTACATTGAAAACTCCTCAAATTAATGATACATTCTTTTATGAAAAACTACCAATCCCAAATTTTATAACGGGAATTTGCGCTGATTTACTCACTTACAGTTTATGTAACAATAAATCTTGTGCCGTTTTCATTGGATTTTTAGATACAGCTTCATTAGATTCAAAAAACACACTTAACCTAATCCAATTGATGAGACAAATAGGGATACAAGGAGTTAAAGGTTTTTCGTTAAAAATAAGAACCCCAGAAAATAATTTATATGCATAAATACGAAATATTAATAAAATATAATTAAAAAAAGATCTTTTTGCATAACTTTAATATTATTTGACAGTTATAACCTTAAATAAACGAAAAAGTGTATAATAAATTAATTCATACCCAATTATACAATTTAGAATCATTACAATACTTTAAATTATCATAATTAGCGGTACATTCTGATTTATCACAACAAAAAATTTCAGAAATCTACAATCGCCTAAATTTTCCCGTTTAAAAACGGCACATGTTGGGAAGAAGACCGAGAAGATTCTAGCACATTGATTCCCAAAGTGGTTCAGGTGGGAGATTCGACGGGGGTCTACGTTGGCGTGACAAAAAATGGGAGTTCACAATTCGTAAGCGGGGGTCCACGAACATTTTTCTGGTTTCGATAGTGAAAAACTAAAATGTTGGCTTGACTTCGCCTATGAATGTAGGCAGATAATATTTTAAGAAGCTCAGCGACTGTTACTTGTAAAAACTTAAGAATTATACCAGAGGCAATTCACTTTGTGTCATCCACCGACAACATCTAGTAGCAAAAAATTTGAGTAATAGATTGCACCCATCACTTCAATTTGCGATTAATGCAGTTAACAAAATAAGAAGCAATGCATTGAATACGCGTTTATTTGCACAATTGTGCGATGCAAATGAAGACGATGAAGGCGAGATTTTATTCACTTTTTGAATCAGTGTTAGAGTTTCTGGAAAGTAAAGACCTAGATTTAAAAGAAAACCTTATCAATTTGAAAGCAAACATCGCGTATTTAACAGATTTGTTCAAAAAATTTAATGCCATTAACTTACAATTACAACGGGACAACCTCAATTTAATAAAAACAAAGGGTGTAGTTTCAACCTTTGTTGGAAAATTGAAATTTATGAAGCAAAATATTAGTCGGCGCGAATTTTCCCAGTTTTCAAACTTGTCACAGGTAGAATGGCTTGATGAGGATATTCAGACATACGTTCAACATTTAATTGCCTTGCCTGATGACTTCAAAATCAGATTTGAAGATATTCTAACGATGGAAATACCACCATGATCATAAATCCATTTAATGAAACGGAAGTGGAGAATGTGGTATTACAAGAGAAGCTACTCGAGCTTAACACTAATGAGGGGACATTTTGGCTGCAGGAAGAAAAATTGATGGCGTTTCCCTCATCATATCGTTTTAGTGTCGTTACAAACCTTTTAACACTATGCCGTCCGGCGACACCACAGTGGTGTCGCGCGAAAAATNAGGGACGTAGCTCCGCAGGGGAGTCGAAATCGCTGATAGTTTATATGAGAAAGTACCCTTAAAATTGCCTAAAGAATCACCCCCTGAAGTTTGGGCACGTCATTCAGATACACCCTGTATACACCCCAGAAAATCATAATATCTCAGCTCCTGAAATGTAATTCAATGAAATTTTTAAACGAAGGATATTAGAAGTGTATATTATTAGAATATTTTACATAAAAATGTATAACTTATTATTTATATTGAAAAACACAACATAATCATATTTGTAACTCAAAAAAGTCTACATACAGCTGTAACATCATAGTTGATATACCGTATTTTCTCGAATCTAATCCGCACCCTTTTTACAAATTTTGTATGCTCTAAAATCAAATGCGGATTACAATCGGATGTGGATTACATTGGAAAACCAACTTTTTTTACCATCATTGCATTTTTAAAATCGGGGTGCGGATTAGATTCGAGTGCGGATAAGATTCGAGAAAATACGGTAGTTTGCGTTTCATTTCATACCATGTTGTCGCTATAGCAGTATACTAACATAAATTAGTGTAATTAGTAATACTCCTAACGATGGAAGCTAAACAGAAAGGAATACCTTATGCAGTGCGAAATGTCATAATTCACAATCATAATAATGGTCGTTCATTAACTGAAATCGCAAAAATAGTTAGTAAAAGTCGCTCTTCGGTCCATACAGTAATTCGAAATTATAAGGAACGTCAGTCAATGGAAAACAAACCAAGAAGTGGCCGACCACGTATACTGACACCTAGAGATAAGCGGTAATTTTAAAAATGATCAACGATCAGCCGACAACAACTGCGGTTGATACATAGATTAAATATAATATATTTGTTATATACAGGTGTACAAAAAGTATGGAATAATGATTCTACAGCCTAAACTTCAACTTATATTAAAAAAAGTTTTAAATAAAAGTTACTTGAAACTATTTTCCGCATATCTTGGCGTAAAAATAAAATAAAAATCTTGACGGCAGTCTGAGTTACGACATGGTGAGTGTGTTTTTAAATGGAACATCCTGTATTTTTTAAGGTTTTTGGATTCCTTTTGACAAGGTGTTGCAAAATGCTATAAGATTTTAATACTTTAAACTGCATAGTTTTCGAGATATCCAAACTTTTATTTAAAAAGATTTGATGTACCGACTCCAAACATCTTCGTTGCTAACGAAAAATACCCATATGCAATTTTTCAATAGACTGCCTAAGTCTGACGTCACAGAGATGGTCGGAGCTTATACTGACTCCAAACAATTTCGTTGCTAACGAAAAATCCCCATATGCATTTTTTCAATAGACTGTCTAAGTCTGACGTCACAGAGATGGGCGGAGCTTATACGGACTCCAAACAATTTCGTTGCTAACCACAGTTGCTAACGATACAAAAAATGTCATTTGAAATGTCATCACTTAGTTTATTTTATTTTAACACTAATGAAAAATCGCATATGGTGATTTACCGTTAGCAACGAAGATATTTGGAGTCGGTATAAGCTCCGCCCATCCCTGTGACGTCAAGGCTTAGGTTGTCTATTCCATAATGACGCCATAATTTGGTTGTCGCTACGTCAAACCTTTTTAAATAAAAGTTTCAATATCTCGAAAACTATGCAGTTTAAAGCATTAAAACCTTATGGCATTTTGCAACACCTTGTCAAAAGGAATCCAAAAACCTTAAAATATACAGGGTGTTCCCTTTAAAAAACACACCCACCATGTCGTAACTCAGACTGCCGTCATCATTTTTATTTTATTTCTACACCAAGATATGCGGAAAATAGTGTCAAGTAACTTTTATTTGAAACTTTTTTTGATATAACTTGAAGTTTAGGCTGTAGAACCATTATTCCATACTTTTTGTACATCCTGTAGATAGGCAATATCATATAAACGTTTGATTGATATACGCAATTAGTTTTGGATACTGTCACCTACAGCGCTGAAGTCATTGATAGGCGGGAAATATAAATTAAATTTGTTATTTGTAAGTTTTGTCGATGTATTTTTGCTTAGCGACAAAACTTTACAAACTGTACAAAATTGTAAACACATTAAATTTTATCGTTTACAATGTTGTCCAAAAAAGAAAACATCGAAAAAACATGACTAGGTATTAAGTTATTATTTGGTACAGGGTTTATTAAAAAGTCTTTAAATGAATAACAAAGACTTTATTCTTTAATTTTTTTAATATTATTTATACCGCATCGTTTCCTTTTAATCTTATTCTATTTATCTAATGTTACTTCCTCATGGCTGATTATAACATCAATCGAAGTACTTATTATAAAGCAACAGCAACAAATCGCTCTTTCTTCAAATCTCTAGCAACTCTTCCTCTATACACAATACAATCATGCAATCAAAAATATTGCTATGTCAAACCCTATGGCCAAACCTGGTCAAACCAGTCAAACTGACAACTCAAAAAATGGCCAAAATGGGTTCTGTAATCGAAAGCAACGCTATAAGTGACAGTATCCAGAATTAAACGTAGGTGTCCCACTTCATTAATATGAGTGACTGGTGCATGGGTTGATATAACCAAATCACTTGCGGCATCAAGCTCTATAACCGTCAATTTGGAAACAGTTAGACAGGTGTTATGAAGTGAAGGCTATAATAGTAGAGTTCCAAGAAAAAAGCCGTTTACATCCGAAATAAATGCGAAAAAAAGAGTCGATTTTGCCAAATTACATGAGCAAAAGAATACTACTTTCTGGCGTACCGTTGCATTTTTGGACGAAAGCAAGTTCAATATTTTTGGCCTATGATGGCATAGCAAAGGTATGGACAAAGAAAAACGAAGAAATGAAAAAGAAAAACTTGAAAGCCACAGTAAAGCATGCCGGAGGAAATGTAATGGTATGGGGTTGTATGTCGAGGGTTGGCGTAGGAAGTTTAATATTTGTTGAAACAATTATGGACCGCTATGTATATCTGAACATATTGCGAACTAATTTAAAGGAATCGTCAATAAATTAGGATTGGGAACAGAGTGGATATTCCAATACGATAATGATCCCAAGCACACATTGTGAAACTCACCACCGCAGTCACCCGACCTCAACCCGATAGAGCAGGTATGGGAGCTTCTTGACTTAAAAGCTGCATAATTTAGTTGATACTATGCCTCGACGATTAGCAGCAGTTCTTGCTGCCAAGGGAGGACCTACCATATATTAATTAGTATATAAATTTTGAGTTGTTTTGATTGTGAATGTAATGTAGACTTTTTTGAGTTACAAATATGATTATGTTTTGTATTTTTCATTATAAATAATGAGTTATACATTTTTGTGTAAAATATTGGAATAATATACACTTCTAATATCCGTCCTTTAAAAATTTCATTGAATTACAGTTCAGGAGCTGAGATATTATGATTTTCTGGGGTGTATGTAAACTTTATTGTACCACTGTAAGTTAATTCATATCCAATTATACAACTTAGAATCATTACAATACTTTAAATTATCATAATTAGCGGTACATTCTGATTTATCACAACAAAAAATTTCTAAAATCTCCTTCAGAAATCAACAATCGCCTAAATTTTGAGTGCGGGAAGTTAGCCCCCATTTTTTGATTTTTAAATTTTTTATTGTTGTTCTAGATTTATTCGAAAAAACGGGTTTTTTGACTAGCCCCCCATTTTTGGAAAAATCAAAGTTTCTTTGTTGTTCTGGGTTGTTCTAGTTATTGTTCTAGAAAATCAAAATTATGGGATATAGCATTACGAAGTTTA